CCAGGGCTGTAACATTGCCCACCCATCCTTCAGAGTACAGGTACTGTACTTCTCACCTCCAGGGCTGTAACATTGCCCACCCATCCTTCAGAGTACAGGTACTGTACTTCTCACCTCCAGGGCTGTAACATTGCCCACCCATCCTTCAGAGTACAGGTACTTTACTTCCACCTCCAGGGCTGTAACATTGCCCACCCATCCTTCAGAGTACAGGTACTGTACTTCTCACCTCCAGGGCTGTAACATTGCCCACCCATCCTTCAGAGTACAGGTACTGTACTTCTCACCTCCAGGGCTGTAACATTGCCCACCCATCCTTCAGAGTACAGGTACTATACTTCTCACCTCCAGGGCTGTAACATTGCCCACCCATCCTTCAGAGTACAGGTACTATACTTCTCACCTCCAGGGCTGTAACATTGCCCACCCATCCTTCAGAGTACAGGTACTGTACTTCTCACCTCCAGGGCTGTAACATTGCCCACCCATCCTTCAAGTACAGGTACTGTACTTCTCACCTCCAGGCTGTAACATTGCCCACCCATCCTTCAGAGTACAGGTACTATACTTCTCACCTCCAGGGCTGTAACATTGCCCACCCATCCTTCAGAGTACAGGTACTGTACTTCTCACCTCCAGGCTGTAACATTGCCCACCCATCCTTCAGAGTACAGGTACTGTACTTCTCACCTCCAGGGCTGTAACATTGCCCACCCATCCTTCAGAGTACAGGTACTATACTTCTCACCTCCAGGGCTGTAACACATTGCCCACCCATCCTTCAGAGTACAGGTACTGTACTTCTCACCTCCAGGGCTGTAACATTGCCCACCCATCCTTCAGAGTACAGGTACTGTACTTCTCACCTCCAGGGCTGTAACATTGCCCCACCCATCCTTCAGAGTACAGGTACTATACTTCTCACCTCCAGGGCTGTAACATTGCCCACCCATTCCTTCAGAGTACAGGTACTGTACTTCTCACCTCCAGGGCTGTAACATTGCCCACCCATCCTTCAGAGTACAGGTACTGTACTTCTCACCTCCAGGCTGTAACATTGCCCACCCATCCTTCAGAGTACAGGTACTATACTTCTCACCTCAGGGCTGTAACATTGCCCACCCATCCTTCAGAGTACAGGTACTGTACTTCTCACCTCCAGGGCTGTAACATTGCCCACCCATCCTTCAGAGTACAGGTACTGTACTTCTCACCTCCAGGCTGTAACATTGCCCACCCATCCTTCAGAGTACAGGTACTGTACTTCTCACCTCCAGGGCTTAACATTGCCCACCCATCCTTCAGAGTACAGGTACTGTACTTCTCACCTCCAGGGCTGTAACATTGCCCACCCATCCTTCAGAGTACAGGTACTATACTTCTCACCTCCAGGGCTGTAACATTGCCCACCCATCCTTCAGAGTACAGGTACTGTACTTCTCACCTCCAGGGCTGTAACATTGCCCACCCATCCTTCAGAGTACAGGTACTTACTTCTCACCTCCAGGCTGTAACATTGCCCACCCATCCTTCAGAGTACAGGTACTATACTTCTCACCTCCAGGGCTGTAACATTGCCCACCCATCCTTCAGAGTACAGGTACTATACTTCTCACCTCCAGGGCTGTAACATTGCCCACCCATCCTTCAGAGTACAGGTACTATACTTCTCACCTCCATATACATACTATCAAAACTTTTAAATAGATATACACCAGTGTTTAACTTACAATTGGACATCAATACTATGCCTTCACTAATGTGGCATTGATGAATAAGTTAAATTCTATTTATCCCTTCAGTAAGAATACACTTTGTTACTATTGAAAATCTCTTGATCCAAGGAATTGTTTGTTCACTCACCTTCCTTGTATCAAACCTGATTACCTTTCATTCCTCATATGTCCCTTGTGTTTAACACTGCCTATAAATATACTAATACTGTAATAATAACAACATCCTGTACTGTATGCTTGATTTTAAGTGCCTTAAAAAATGAGTATTAACTCTAGAAGTGTTTCTTACATTACTAAGACGACTGTTGAAGACAGCTAGTATTTTCATGAAGTTATGCTGTGTGCACTAGGGATGGGGCGATACCAAGTTATGCTGTGTGCACTAGGGATGGGGCAGTACCAAGTTATGCTGTGTGCACTAGGGATGGGGCAATACCAAAAATTGTTTCCAGTGATGATAGTTTTCGGATTTAGGGCAATACAGTGGACCCCCGGTTAACGATTTTAATCCGTGCAAGAGGGCTCATCGTTATGCGAAATAATCGTTATGCGAATGAATTTTCCCCATAAGAAATAATGGAAATAAAATTAATCCGTGCAAGACGCCCAAAAGTATGAAAAAATTTTTTTTTTACCACATGAAATGTTAATTTTAATACACACAAACTGAAAAAGGCATGCACAATTAAATGACACTTACTTTTATTGAAGATCTGGTGATGATTGATGGGATGGGAGGAGGGGAGAGCATTATCTTCTTACTGTTTAGAAGGGGAATCCCCTTCCATTAGGACTTGAGGTAGCAAGTCCTTTTCTGGGTTACTTCCCTTCTTCTTTTAATGCCACTAGGACCAGCTTGAGAGTCACTGGACCTCTGTCGCACAACAAATCTGTCCATAGAGCTCTGTACCTCCCGTTCCTTCAAGACTTTCCTAAAATGGGCCATAACATTGTCATTGAAATAGTCACCAGCACGGCTTGCAACAGCTGTGTCAGGGTGATTTTCATCTATAAAGGTTTGCAGTTCAACCCACTGTGCACACATTTCCTTAATCTTTGAAGTAGGCACAATGATTTCCACAACTGGCATAGGCTTCTCAGGGTTAGCCCCAAACCCTTCAAAATCTTTCTTAATTTCCATACTAATTCTCACCCTTTTTACCACAGGGTTGCACTAGAAGCTTTCTTGGGCCCATGGTCACTTATTTTCCAGAAACAGCACCGAAAACACTGTAATAATACGAAATATTCCGAGTGTATGCTTGGATGTTACCGCGGAGGCTGGCTGGTAAACAATGGGACGGCCGGCACATGTGAGGGCACATTGGACGCGTCTCGGACGAAAATCGGTAAGCGGGTTTTTAATCGGTATGCGCGGCAAAAATTTTGCGATAAAAGTAATCGGTATGCGGAAAAATCGCTATGTGATGCCATCGTTATGCGGGGGTCCACTGTACTGATGTGCAATAACCTGCACATAGGAAACTGAAATTTATTATGATGATTCTGTCTGACTTTAACCATTAACTAATCACACAGAAGCATGAAGGGAAGGGAACTGGTATATATATGAGAGGAGGTAGTAGTATGTACAGGTTATTTGTGTATTGTTCCAGTCACAGTAGTGTATTGTGCCTTTTATTCCCTTTGGCATATCCTAATGTACACTTATCTACATTTCTGTAGATTTATGTAAAATATAAGTGACTGGATAAATTATACTTTGGTAAAAAGAGAAATGAAGATTAATTTCTTGACTAGGTATATGTACCTAGATAATAATCTGAATTTCAATACTCTCATCCAGTAAGCATCTAAAAGAATATAAAAATAATAGGTGTTCTTTTTAACCCTTAAACTGTCCAAACGTAGATCTACGTTCACGTGCGTAGCACTTTGACCTTCATTTTCCCCATTTGACAACATGTAAAAAAATGTAGATCTACGTTCGGAGCCTGCCGCACATCAACGTATATCTCTGTTTGGACAGTTTAAGGGTTAAAGATTTGTTATGTACCCCCTAAGCTGAACTATTAATGTTATGCAATATACTGGGGTATCCATATGCCATTTGTAGAATACAGGAGGTTCCTGCTTTACATTGTTTTTGAGTTATACCCATTCTTCATTAACTCAGACTTATTATTTTTTTCAACACATTTGCTGTATCCCATCAAGGCAGGCTCAAGTGGGTTACTAGCCCCTTGCTCCCAGCATTTTAGTTGCCTCTTATGACATACATGGCTTACGGATGAAAAATTCTGTTCCACTTCCCCATGGAAAATAATTATTATTATAAAGTAGTGGTACATACGTACCTTAATTGTATTTCCTCTTCCCTCAGATATCAAGCTGAGAAAAGAGTGCTGTTACTTTGTATCGCTTGGAGAAACTTCAGCCTGTCTCACTGTCCTTGTGAAGGAAGCTCAGCCATAGCTCCTGCGGCAGTCTTCACAATTATTTGTGGTGTCTCAACATATAGAATTGGTAGAGACAGTGACCCTCCCCAAAGTACCATCAGGTAAACCTACAGCATTTTAGTGCATTACATCAAAAATTTATTCTTCTTCTTTCAACAAACTGGCCGTATCCCACCAAGGCAGGGTGACCCAAAAAGAAAAATGAAATTATTTTCCTTTTAAATATAGTAATGTATACAGGACAAGGGGTTACTAGCTCGTTGATCCCGACATTTTAGTCGCCTCTTAAAACACATGGCTTATGGAGGAAGAATTCTTTTCCATTTTCCCCCATGGAGAATTATTATTATTATACTATTAAGACACCTTAGCTGTTAGAAAGTAGTCCTCTGCCAAAACTATGTATTCTAGTCTTCACAGAGATGCTCTTATACACATGAATCTTAGTTCCAGTTTTGTTTCTGTTGATACTTTTCTTAAAATATTGACAAGTGCTGTGACCCGACCATGGATTTGCTCATGCCTGTTAATAACTTAAGAGGTCAGCTTGAGACATCACTTTAGATTTTCATCACCAGTTTGTGTGTTGTGAACTGTACCAGCCACATTACTTTGGTTTAGTGCTTTTTTTTAACACTCCGTATTTTCTGGCATATAAGGTGCACCTTTTTCCCCACAAAGTCTTGGGAAATCAGTCTGCATCTTGTTACACTTTAGCATAGAGTATTAGGATCATTATCCCTTGAATATGATTACTGATTGACCATTATGATTGTTATGTCGTGCATCTTATATGCCGGAAAATATGTTAATAATGAAGATTAGGAAAGACGAAACTACGTAATTTCAAATTAGTTTATAAAATGCCAGTTCATAGCAGAGTCTACAATGGTGGTACATTATTTACAACAGTCACAAGGTTGTTTTTTGAGGAAAGAAAGACATGAGTAAATTTCAGAACAATATAAATCATTTTGTTTGAGAGAAGACAGTCATAAATGCAGATACATGTAGGTAGAGAGGCTGACACAGTGACAGCTCGGTTGTGAAGTGCTATAAGGCACGGCCATGATGTATGCTTTGCAATACTTGCCTCAAATGTAACCAATATATCAACACTGCAGCAGGCCTACTGGCCCATGTGAGGCAGGTCCAAGTCTCCTACCGGCTTAAGCCAATGCACCCAACCTAGCAAATGGCTTTCTTTTGTGCTTAACAATACTTTATTACTGCAAACTACATAAGTGAATACTTTAATATCAGTATTCTTTATCATAATTTTTCTCTTGACACCTTACATTTACATTAAGAAAATACATATTTGATAAAACTCTTGAAATATATAATTTCAGATCCATGCATTTTTAATATGCTGCAGCATAGCATGACTTGGTGTACAAGCCGACCCCTGACTCTTTTACCAATAAATCCTTATTCTTTCATGTATAACACTACCATAGTTTTCGAGGGTCAGAACAAGGTTTGAAAGTTACAGTTCTGTACTGGGTGTTAGTACTATATATTGTACACATTACCTACTCATCTGTCAGTTCTTCAGATCTATTTGTTCTGGATTCTCCCACAGGTTTAATTTCACCTCCCTCATTTTTTCTCTTAATAGGAACATAGTCTGTTTTGATATGCCTGTAAATTCCTCTTTTCTCTCCCAAGATATAGTCTAATATCTTATTCATCCATTGGAAGCATTTTTGTTCCTCTCTGGGAAGTTTTTATACCAAGCTGTGTAAGACCTCTCTGGATGGTTGCTGTCTACCAACCTAATAGCAGTAATACCTCTGTGGATGGTTGCTGTCTACCAACCTAATAGCAGTAATACTTCTCTGGATGGTTGCTGTCTACCAACCTAATACCAGTAATACCTCGTGGATGGTTGCTGTCTACCAACCTAATAGCAGTAATACTTCTCTGGATGGTTGCTGTCTACCAACCTAATACCAGTAATACCTCTGTGGATGGTTGCTGTCTACCAACCTAATAGCAGTAATACTTCTCTGGATGGTTGCTGTCTACCAACCTAATACCATTTAATACCTCTGTGGATGGTTGCTGTCTACCAACCTAATAGCAGTAATACTTCTCTGGATGGTTGCTGTCTACCAACCTAATACCAGTAATACCTCTCTGGATGGTTGCTGTCTACCAACCTAATAGCAGTAATACCTCTTTGGATGGTTGCTGTCTACCAACCTAATAGCAGTAATACCTGTTTGGATGGTTGCTGTCTACCAACCTAATACCAGTAATACCTCTCTGGATGGTTGCTGTCTACCAGCCTACATACTGACTTTTAGAAAAATGTCCTACTGGCATAAGAAAATGTATATTTATACATTTTAATTGCTGAGATATAAAATTGACATGCAATGATTGGTGTGGCAGCAGGACGCACTACCAGCATTTAATATTTCAAGGTGACTGACAACATTCTTTGTCACAAATACTATTTTTACAAAAAATACTAAATCATTGCAGCAGTAAACTCTAAGACTGAGACCATTCTAACAGATGACATTTTTTTAATATACAGTAGTAGTAGGTTGGTATAGGTAGTAGGTTGGTAGACAGCAACCACCCAGGGAAGTACTACCGTCCTGCCAGATGACTGTGAAACAAAAACCTGTAACTGTTTTGCATGATGGTAGGATTGCTGGTTTCTTTTTCTGTCTCATAAACACGCTAAGATAACAGGGATATCTTGCTACTCCTACTTACACTTTGGTCACACTTCACAGACATGCACATGCATATATATATATACATACATCTAGGTTTTTCTCCTTTTTCTAAATAGCTCTTGTTCTTTTTTATTTCTTCTATTGTCCATGGGAAGTGGAAAAGAATCTTTCCTCCGTAAGCCATGCGTGTCTTTATGAGGCGACTAAAATGCCGGGAGCAATGGGCTAGTAACCCCTTCTCCTGTATACAATTAATAAAAAAGAGAAGAAGAAAAACTTTATAAAACTGGGTTGCTTAAATGTGCGTGGATGTAGTGCGGATGACAAGAAACAGATGATTGCTGATGTTATGAATGAAAAGAAGTTGGATGTCCTGGCCCTAAGCGAAACAAAGCTGAAGGGGGTAGGAGAGTTTCAGTGGGGGGAAATAAATGGGATTAAATCTGGAGTATCTGAGAGAGTTAGAGCAAAGGAAGGGGTAGCAGTAATGTTAAATGATCAGTTATGGAAGGAGAAAAGAGAATATGAATGTGTAAATTCAAGAATTATGTGGATTAAAGTAAAGGTTGGATGCGAGAAGTGGGTCATAATAAGCGTGTATGCACTGGAGAAGAGAGGAATGCAGAGGAGAGAGAGAGATTTTGGGAGATGTTAAGTGAATGTATAGGAGCCTTTGAACCAAGTGAGAGAGTAATTGTGGTAGGGACTTGAATGCTAAAGTAGGAGAACTTTTTAGAGAGGGTGTGGTAGGTAAGTTTGGGGGTGCCAGGTGTAAATGATAATGGGAGCCCTTTGATTGAACTTTGTATAGAAAGGGGTTTAGTTATAGGTAATACATATTTAAGAAAAGAGGATAAATAAAGTATACACGATATGATGTAGGGCGAAATGACAGTAGTTTGTTGGATTATGTATTGGTAGATAAAAGACTGTTGAGTAGACTTCAGGATGTACATGTTTATAGAGGGGCCACAGATATATCAGATCACTTTCTAGTTGTAGCTACACTGAGAGTAAAAGGTAGATGGGATACAAGGAGAATAGAAGCATCAGGGAAGAGAGAGGTGAAGGTTTATAAACTAAAAGAGGAGGCAGTTAGGGTAAGATATAAACAGCTATTGGAGGATAGATGGGCTAATGAGAGCATAGGCAATGGGGTCGAAGAGGTATGGGGTAGGTTTAAAAATGTAGTGTTAGAGTGTTCAGCAGAAGTTTGTGGTTACAGGAAAGTGGGTGCAGGAGGGAAGAGGAGCGATTGGTGGAATGATGATGTAAAGAGAGTAGTAAGGGAGAAAAAGTTAGCATATGAGAAGTTTTTACAAAGTAGAAGTGATGCAAGGAGGGAAGAGTATATGGAGAAAAAGAGAGAAGTTAAGAGAGTGGTGAAGCAATGTAAAAAGAGAGCAAATGAGAGAGTGGGTGAGATGTTATCAACAAATTTTGTTGAAAATAAGAAAAAGTTTTGGAGTGAGATTAACAAGTTAAGAAGCCTAGAGAACAAATGGATTTGTCAGTTAAAAATAGGAGAGGAGAGTTATTAAATGGAGAGTTAGAGGTATTGGGAAGATGGAAGGAATATTTGAGGAATTGTTAAATGTTGATGAAGTAGGGAAGCTGTGATTTCGTGTATAGGGCAAGGAGGAATAACATCTTGTAGGGTGAGGAAGAGCCAGTTGTGAGTGGGGGGGAAGTTCGTGAGGCAGTAGGTAAAATGAAAGGGGGTAAGGCAGCCGGGATTGATGGGATAAAGATAGAAATGTTAAAAGCAGGTGGGGATATAGTTTTGGAGTGGTTGGTGCAATTATTTAATAAATGTATGGAAGAGGGTAAGGTACCTAGGGATTGGCAGAGAGCATGCATAGTTCCTTTGTATAAAGGCAAAGGGGATAAAAGAGAGTGCAAAAAATTATAGGGGGATAAGTCTGTTGAGTGTACCTGGTAAAGTGTATGGTAGAGTTATAATTGAAAGAATAAGAGTAAGACGGAGAATAGGATAGCAGATGAACAAGGAGGCTTTAGGAAAGGTAGGGGGTGTGTGGACCAGGTGTTTACAGTGAAACATATAAGTGAACAGTATTTAGATAAGGCTAAAGAGGTCTTTGTGGCATTTATGGATTTGGAAAAGGCGTATGACAGGGTGGATAGGGGGGCAATGTGGCAGATGTTGCAAGTGTATGGTGTAGGAGGTAGGTTACTGAAAGCAGTGAAGAGTTTTTACGAGGATAGTGAGGCTCAAGTTAGAGTATGTAGGAAAGAGGGAAATTTTTTCCCAGTAAAAGTAGGCCTTAGACAAGGATGTGTGATGTCACCGTGGTTGTTTAATATATTTATAGATGGGGTTGTAAGAGAAGTAAATGCGAGGGTCTTGGCAAGAGGCGTGGAGTTAAAAGATAAAGAATCACACACAAAGTGGGAGTTGTCACAGCTGCTCTTTGCCGATGACACTGTGCTCTTGGGAGATTCTGAAGAGAAGTTGCAGAGATTGGTGGATGAATTTGGTAGGGTGTGCAAAAGAAGAAAATTAAAGGTGAATACAGGAAAGAGTAAGGTTATGAGGATAACAAAAAGATTAGGTGATGAAAGATTGAATATCAGATTGGAGGGAGAGAGTATGGAGGAGGTGAACGTATTCAGATATTTGGGAGTGGACGTGTCAGCGGATGGGTCTATGAAAGATGAGGTGAATCATAGAATTGATGAGGGAAAAAGAGTGAGTGGTGCACTTAGGAGTCTGTGGAGACAAAGAACTTTGTCCTTGGAGGCAAAGAGGGGAATGTATGAGAGTATAGTTTTACCAACGCTCTTATATGGGTGTGAAGCGTGGGTGATGAATGTTGCAGCGAGGAGAAGGCTGGAGGCAGTGGAGATGTCATGTCTGAGGGCAATGTGTGGTGTGAATATAATGCAGAGAATTCGTAGTTTGGAAGTTAGGAGGACGTGCGGGATTACCAAAATGTTGTCCAGAGGGCTGAGGAAGGGTTGTTGAGGTGGTTCGGACATGTAGAGAGAATGGAGCGAAACAGAATGACTTCAAGAGTGTATCAGTCTGTAGTGGAAGGAAGG